TTTAATAAAGTGTTGATGTTATTTAACAGCTATGAGTTTGTGTTCTCATGTCTTTCTACAGTACTACTACTAATGATTCATTTGGTGATTGGAGAAAAAAGAAGGTGGCGGTCTTGTGATTAGCCTAAGAAAACATGCATAGATAACTTTGACTGTTTTAAAACCTTTCTAATTATGGCCTCATTCACACTGCCGCACGTATGCGCGCGTATTGTACCATATGCAACCTATGCAAATAAACGGCTCCATACACACAGCCACGTATAGAGCCGTATATTTGCGTAGCGTATATATGCGCAAAAACAGAATGGAACAGAGATGCGTCCGGGCAGCGTATCTCTGCGTATTTACGCGCGTACATGCGTACAGCACATTAAAAATTCCATTACGAGTGATGCATTCTGGGATTGCATATAGTGCACGCATATACGCGCGTATATATATATACGCATAGACGCGTATATACGCAATATACAATTTTGCTTGCGTTGTGTGTGAATGAGGCCTTAAGGTCACTCGTATCTCCTGGGTTTTTTTTTAGCAGTATTTATTCCTAGTAGGGATGTCCCGATACCAATACTAGTAGCGGTATCGGGGCCGATACAGGGCATTTTCACAAGTACTTGTACTCATGAAAATGCCCTGATACTGAAGGCCTATACTGGCCTCTTAAATTTTTTAAACGGATCGGCCGCCTCAGGTCCCGTGCTTGTGGGGTCCTGAAGCAGCCTTCCGGGGACCTGGCAGTGGCTGTTTTTGACACTGCCTGCCAGGTCCCATGTCTCCTCCTCCTGATGCCTGGTGAAGGCACTCCTCGAGGCAGCCCCACAACACGAATAAAGCCTCGGAGCGGCAGAGCTCACTACGGAGCCTACGGAGGTCACTACGCGCCCATAGAGCGGGCTCAGCACAGCACCTGTCAGCGTGGAGAGACCCAATAGGCTGGCAGCCGGGAAGGATGCAGGATGGCGCACAAGACTTGGTGAGATCTGGACGCAGCCCTGGCGAGATCTGGAGGCAGCCAATGGCGAGATCTGGACGCAGCCCATGGCGAGATCTGGAAGCAGCCCATGGCGAGATCTGGAAACAGCCCATGGCGAGATCTGGACGCAGCCCTGGCGAGATCTGGACGCAGCCCTGGCAAGATCTGGAGAAAGCCTGGTGGGATCTGGAGGCAGCCGGGCGAGATCTGGACGCACCCTGGTGAGATCTGGATGCCCCCTGGTGAGATCTGGACACAGCCTAGTGCAGTGATGGCTGTCTCTGCCTTTGCCTCAGTCTTGCCTCATCTCCCCCTGTCTCCGCCCCCTGTCTCATGCCGCTCCGTCCCCGTCTCTTCATCTCAGCCTCGATCTCACTCTGTCTCCGCCCCCTGTCTCATGCAGCTCAGTCCTCCATCTCCTTCCGTCCTCTCATCTCCGCCCCCATCTCCCTCTGTCTCCACCCCCTGCCGCTCCGTCCCCCTTCTCCTCTTGCTCGCTCGCCCGCCTGCCGACATTAGACAGCTCGGCTGCCTTAATGTTGTGGTGCCTGAACCTTGGCTCGCGTGCCAGCAGAAAGGGCCTCACGTGCCCTCCCTAGGTTCGCCACCACTGGCCTAGTGGGATCTGGACTACATATGTCACCAGGCTGCGTACAGATTCTGTACGCAGCCTGGTGCGATTTGTATGCAGCCTGGTGGGATCTGGAGTCCAGATGTCACCAGGCTGCGTCCAGATTCTGAACGCAGCCTGGTGAGATCTGTATTCAGCTCTAGTGATATCTGGACACAGCCTGGTGAGATCTCTTTTCAGCTCTGGTGACATCTGTACGCAGCCTGGTGACATCTGGACTACAAATGTCACCAGGCTGCGTACAGATCTCACCAGGCTGCGTACAGATTCTGTACGCAGGCTGGTGAGATCTGTACGCAGCTTTAGTGAGATTTGTATGCAGCCTGATGGGATCTGGAGTCCAGATGTCACCAGGCTGCATCCAGAGCCTGGTGAGATCTGTATTTAGCTCTGGTGAGATCTCTATTCAGCCCTGGTGACATCTGTACGCAGCCTGGTGAGATACTGCCCTAAAATCATTAGTCTGTAAGAAAAAGTATTGGTAATTGGTATCAGCAAGTAACAGGGGGCAAGTACTTGGTCTTGAAAAAGTGGTATCGGGACATCCCTAGTTCCTAGCATTTGAAAATTTCAAATATCACCAGCAGTGAATTCTCATATTTTATTTAAAGTTTTTCTGTAAATGGACACTTTTTCTTACTATTTGGACTCAGACACATGAGAACTGTATTGGCGATATTGGTTTCTAAACTGTATTATGTTTTTATACACTATCACTTTTTACCTATGTTTTATACATTTTTCTTGCAAAAAAAACCTCCTGTCTTGAGTCTCTAAAGTTTGAGGCCTATTCATCTGTTCACATACCGTGCTGCAGCTGGAAAATATTTTTGGCAACCGTGGCTGAGATTATACACTCTTATTTGTGTTGCAGGATAAAACTTGCCTTGTCTCTTCCTATTTTAGGCCTATTAAAGCGGCTGACATACTTTAATTTTTATTTGCAGGCTACAACCTACCTTGTCTGCCACTAGATGGCACCAAGGAGTATAGGAAATTGATGAGAATGCCATGTGAACGGCATTTGTGCAGCGTATTGCTGGGCAGAAGACTTATAAATAAATGTATACATAGAACCTTTAGTGCGATAGCTTTACCTGCTTTGTATCAGGAGTGTCAACGGTGGGAGCCACAGTCAAAGTACATGGAGTTTTGCTGGTTACACGGGGGGAACTGCTTTTCCAGTGCAATGTGCTGGGCTTGGCTGTCAATATAAACCCTAATGAGGAAATTCTGTAATTTGCTCCTTTTTAGTTTGATAAATATACCACTGAAATAGTTCTGTTATATCTGTTTGATAAGTGCGAAAATATACCTTTTGATCCCGCCAGAAATCTAATGAACCGATAACTTGTTGTGGGTCTTCCTAGGGTGCTTTTCCATAGGCATGGTACAGTGAATCAGAGCATGATCACCCTAGGACAGGAAATGTGTTACTGACAGGAACACCAGGTGAAACTAAATGTAAAAATGGTCTAAAAAAAACCCAACTAATGCTGCCCCACATCTAATGCTGGCCATGCATTTGTAGATTTTCATATGAATGCTCATATGCAAAATCTAGAAACATTGGATAATGTCATCAGAGACTTGACAAATGCCATATAAACATTTTGGGGATTTTAGCATTGATTTTGGAATAAATGGAGTTTCTCAAACACAAACCACATTAACTGTTATAATTTTATTTCTTAAAGAAAACATTTGGAGCAGGGGAGAGGCAGGGCAGCACCCCAATAGTCAAACAAAAGTGATCTGGCAGCTCTACAACCAGGGCATAGAACATAAGTCCAAAGTTCTGAAGTAGTTAAAATAATATTTAAAAATTGCTGATTAAATTTTTACTTGCTCTTTTCTGAACAATCTAAAACTGCAGTTTCCTTCTGTTATGTAGTGTTATGGAGGAGGCAGTAGAGTTAATGTTCACCATAATTGCCCTGTTTTGTACTGGCAAATAATTTGTAAACTAGTTTTAAACACTGTCTTAACATAGTTAAAAATCTGGAAGTGTGGCTTCTGCATTGTATGTTAATGAGGGGAAACTGAGTGTGTCCCTACTTTGTCCCTCTACTTTCACTTTGTGAATTTGTTAAAAATAGTATGCAGTCTGCTCAAAGGCCTGCTCCAAAGAAACAGCTAAAAAGGTAGGAAATATTTTTTAACAATTCATTATTTTTAGGTATGCCCTCTGATTTGGGAACAAATAACTAACATGCCATAGAATGTTCTCAAATTTAACGGCAAAGGTGGAAATATATAAAGCACACAGGAGGTTGACAGGCAGATTGTGTTGTTGCTAAATATCAGTCAGAAAAACACTGGATGGGTAAGGCTCCAGGGTACCTAACTGGGAACCGCTGTACCACCAGGTTAAGAACATGTGCCAGGCACTGCACACACGTAAACATTTCCTGCCAAACAACGTACAGCATGTTGTCACACAGCCTTTGCTGGTGTAAGATGGCATGTGGTCAGCTATCCCCCAAACTTGCAAAACAGCATAGCAGCGCTTTGCCTGGGCCATTGTATTGGAGTTTGGTCACTAGGCCCAGACTGGTGGTTTTGACAATTCACCAGATGAGACCAATAAGCAGTCACCATCACCGAGTTGCACAAAAGAAGACAAAACCACCAGCTCCAGCATTGTGCTCCATCCTGCATCTTTCCGGCTGCCAGCAAATCTTCCCAGTGCACCATTATGGAGATATGTTACCTGCACATGCTTGCTGGACCACATGCCTGTGGTCATGTGGACCCTGCCACTTACTGCATGCTCAAGTTGCACGGAGACATATACTCTACATGCTGTTGGAGGACAGGGAAGGCAATAATGGGCAACAAAATATCCCCTCAATGTAAGGGAGAGAAGGAGGTGTTTATATTTCAAATCACAAGAGCAGCCTAGATACAGTCATTGGGCATTGCCACTTAAGTACGGGAAGTGTGTCATTGCAGGATCACCGGGTCAAAATAAAGGGAAAAAAGAAAACGAATGCATCTACCACATACAGTATCAGGACTGCTAAGCTGCAATATATTTAATATTAGTTTTTGGGTTTCGATAGGTTTTATTTATAAATTACCTTTTGCTAATCTGAGTAGGAGCCACAGTACCAGACTAGGTAAATAGAATGTCAACATGGTGGTGTGGTTGTAAAGAACAAGGCAGTTCACATAACTCGTTTGGACTTTATTGGGACCAGTGGCACCTCTGTACTTAAACCATTGTTACATGATAGCAAAGATATATAGTAGCTGCACATTTCCCACAAACAAACCTAAATCTTGTCACAATGGGGAAAACTGTGTCACATTCAAAATCCTGAATTAACAGTCTGTAATAGCTTAATCCATTATGAAACCTAATAAAGCTTTCTTATGTTCCAGGTTTTCTCACTGGGAGATGTGTCAGTTCATTTTGCCAGATTCAAGGCTGGTGCCCGACAGAAAATGACACTGTTCAGATGTAAGTCACAAATACAAGTGTTTTTAGTAAGCCAACACTTTCTGGCTTATTTATGAAAGCAAGACGAAGAGGAATAGCACGCATTAACCCAGAATCCCTAATTAGATCTTTTTCATTCCTGATGCTTGCGATGGATTACTGCACATTGAGCTTTGCTCTTTTCTTTTTTAAGCAAGGACCTCTTGGCATAATATAGCAAAGTTCCTAAGGGAATGTAAGGGTCTGATAATTTGTTTTTTTTTCAGTTTCTGTTCATAAATGACTGACACACTTTTTACATTTTTGCTGTGTGATTCTTCCATGGCAGTAATATACTTTCTTACTAAATGTACCCACACATATTATATATTGTTTTTTAGAGGACAGATAGGGCTATATAATTATATCAAACATGTGTACCTAACGCCTCACTTAGTTCGAATAAAATATTTAAAAAATATGAAAAAACTTAAAGAAAATTTTTTTTCACGTTTAAATAATAATTATTTTTTAGAAATATTGTTTTACAATAATTATAGTATAAAAAATATATTTATATTTAATTTTTATTTTCTTAATTTTTTTTACACTTCTTTTTTTTTTTTTTTACACTTTTTCTTTGTCAATTTATATCAAGCAGTCACTGTGATTGTGATGAGCAGAGCAATGGACAATTCCACCAACTGTGCTGCAGAGGAAGTGAATTTTTCACATCCTCTCCAGCATAAGGAGGACACTGCTGGATATATCTTAGCTAAGTGGGAGGGGACTCTGTACCATCGAGTGAGCAATTCATAATTGAGCACTTCATAATTGGTTTTCAGGGCTTTGGTGTCAACAGAGGAGGTGTGGGCAAGCTTAACTACTGGCTGTGCGGAGCAATTTGTTAATATTTGCACACACATGATAAAATCTGAAAAATTATATATTTTCTGAAAAGCAGGCCCTATAGAATAAAAAAATGCTAGTTGCAATTTTTTATGTAGCATAGTATTTGCACAAATGTTTATCAAACAAGTATTTTTAGGATTAAATACACTAAAATGAAATATAGTGCACAGAAGCAAAATATAATACCCAATTTTTTTGGTAAAATATAAAAGATGGGGTCACGTCGAGTAAATGGATACCAAACATGTCCTAACAAGCATCCAAACATGGATACCTAACAAGCCCCCTATGTAATAGCAAATATGATGTGACCGGCCCTCTCTGTCAGACCCCTAATGTCACCTAAGGACCCCAAAGAAGCTGATGAAGCAGCAATCTGCTTCACCAGCTTCTTCTCCTGGCTGCAGGAGACAGAGAATGTAAATTGTGTAAAACGTTACTCCTGAAGTGATGTAATACACATAATTTCTGGGTCTAGTGATCGGAGGAGAGATCAGCGGCTAGAAGCTTGCTATCTCCCTCCGATCGGTGAGGGGAGACCCGCTGTGCCAGTCCTCTACCCGCACAGGGGACAGCGGAGCCCTGGGTAGCCGGCAGCTGGCGGAGGGGGGTAGGTTCATACAAGCCATCTGCAAGCAATTGCCGGCTATTTAAAATGATACCAAGCAGCAGCCTTGTTCTTCGTATAACTGTTTCAGGACAGGACTTTTTTTGTGACAGTGGGTGCATTATCAATCTCCAGCTCCACGGTGAGTGAGGAGTATACGTCCTCGCTCACATAACCAAAAGAACAATTGTTTCACAGAAAACTAACGTCCATCCGCTCAGAGGCTCACACCACTGTTCCCTTATCGTAATACCCTCAGCATGTGCCCGCCTATCAAAACACACATACATACAAACAAACACACAGACATATATACACACACACTCTCACTCCCTTCCCCCGTGCCTGCAGCTCAGAGCAGGAGACAGTGCAGAGACGGGACGGCAGGGCTCGCAGCCAACATTCTGTGCAGCCTAAAAACCATCATCGACAGAACAGGGGGCGGGGGCTGGCCGGGTGATACCATTTTTCTTTCCCCCCCCCCTACAGGCAGGCAGCTGCTTGAGCTGCTAGTGTATATGTATATATAGGAAACATCTGGGAATTCTAAGCCCCCATTCATTTTAGGCCATGGAAGAATAGCAAACAGGGCAAAGCATACTATGAAGCTGGTGAAAAAAGAGGTTAGGTTTTTTAATCAGGAGCATTTGTAGCAAAAATAGAATTCTCGGCAGGATATTCTTCTTTATAACATTTATGTTGCCCGCCAAGAAAATGTAGCTCTGTCCGAATGCCAAAGGTCATCAGCAACCTCAAAGAGAGGTGTGACGTTAAGGGCATACAATTGGGTTGAGAGCTGAATTCCCAGATATCTAATGACCCGAGGCCCACGCAAAGGAAAAGTATTGTTTCAGCATAGAAACAATAGCTGAAGGGATGTTTAGAGGTAAAATTTCCAACTTTGGCAATCTCTCCAATTTATGGATAAACAAGCAATTCATTCTCCTCCAATTCAGAAAGTATGTTATGGAGAGAAATCATGGGCTGAGTGACAAATAGCAGGAGGTCATTTTCATAGGCTGGCTGCTTACAGTATGATCTGAACTACCCACTCATACCCCCATAAATATTAGGGTTAGCATGTATTCTGCAAAGAAATGGCTCAAGAGTCAGAGCAAACAGTAGCAGAGATAATAGGCAAACCTGCCTCATGCCATTTCTTATGGAAAATAGAGGGATAAGGAGTCATTACCTTAATACGGGTCTTAGGGTTGCCATACTGCACTGTTATCCTTCACCTCATATTAGGTCCCACTCCATAGGCCACTAGGGTCTCCTACAGGAATACCCAGTCCACCCTGTTGAATGCCTTTTTTGGCATCAGTCAAGAGCAATGATCTCATTGCTGATCAGGGTGGACTAGGGTCAGAAAGAGATCCTCAAGTCTGTTGGGTAAGACCGTGGATCTTCACATCTGCATTCAGAAGTGAGATTGGACGCTAATTCTAAAGGCAAGAAAGGTGCTTGCCTTCTTTGGAAACAACCGTAACATGTGCCAGCAAGGCTGCATGAGGCATGTGTTCCCTAGAAGTAAGGGCATTGAAGTATTTACACATGGGGAAACTCAAGAGGGGCAGAAACATGAGACTGTCAGGGCCAGGACTCTTACTATTAGGTAGCCTTTTTATAACAAGCTCAATCTCCTGTGCTGTGATGGGCTTATGTAACTCATCTACAACAGTTGTAGATGGAAGAGACAGGCAACCAGTAGTCCTAAGGTACTCTTGAATTAAGGATCTCCTCTGTGTCTGTGACTGGGAGGGGGGTTCTGATGTTAAGGTATAAAGATTCTCACAGTATTGTCTAAAGACTGAGGCTATTTTTGAAGTGTGAAGGACCGTTTCTCTTGAAGTAACACAAAGCTTAGGGCCCTAGCTAACAACCTGTCACACTTATTACCATGCTCAAAAAATTTGTGTAACATAAACCGCAAGGGTCTTCGAATTTACATGGCAAATCTAGGGTTTGCCCATTCAAAGGAAGATCTGACCGTTCAAGTCAATTCAGCTTCATTGATAGCCTATAACAACTGTGCCAATTCTTTGCACTTGCATTTGTAATCAGTTCCCCACAGATGACAATCTTGTGCCCCTCCCATACAGAAACCTCCCCCAGAGTAAGTGGAGAGTAAAATAATTTTCAATGGTGTTAGACAAGCTCTAGAAATTTTAATTGGAGGGAGTTCACAGCATAAACCTCATCAAATGTAAACACCTATCTATCCAGTTTATCAGGCCCTTGATAAACACATATCTACCATTTGTCTCCCAGGCATTGTTCCTGCAAGGAGAACTGCCAAACTCTATGAACAGCAATGGCCACCCCTCTGGACTTAGAAGAAGGAGAGTTGACCAGATACCAGTGTGGATAGAAGTGAGTGGGAGGTCTTGGGGCAGAGTCTTAAACAAAATTAGTTTTGTTGGAGAGGGACCGAACAGAGGGGAACCACTGTCCCAGCTCTCCTGCACATTCAACTCTGTAACATACAAAAACCATGACCATGGAGAGAGACACCCCCCCCTCCCCAGAGGCCTTGTCCACTATCTGACAAGCCCCAAAAAGGGGAACAAAACCTGCATGGAACTTGGCTCAACCATATCCAGGCCCGACACTACCGCAAGGCAAGTCAGGCGGGAGGAGCTTCAGGTGGGGTCCTAATTTAGCTGGCCAGCGACAGTACAAGTACTTGTCAAAATGCCCTGTTTTTACAGGGGGTCGGGGGGGGGGGGTGCGCAAAAATGCACCTTGCCTGTGTAGGCAAGAATCCTAGCACCGACCCTGACCATATCCCATCTGCAACACAACAGAGATAGAACAACAATAACATTACCATACAAGGCACAGAGGCAGAAAATCAGTTCAGGTACATTATTTAGCTGTAAACGTCAAAATAACATTCGAGCACCAGGCTCGTGTGCGAGGAGAGTAGGTGTTAAATACACAAGTTTGGAGAGCTCCTTAACCAGGGAATGCATGATAACATCACCACCTGCCAAGTCAAAAGTGTGTAGCTGTTCAAAAAGCATGAATCAGTAAATCATGAATTGTGCCATTATATATGTTTGAGGAAAGTTGTGGTGTGTCACACTTCCCTGTGCTGTGATCCAGCGCCAGGTTTTGCCTCCTGTCCAAGGTGCTGGGCTTCCTGCCAATCCACTCTAAACCTCAATGTTAAAAGTTCAGCTTGTAGCTTGTAGCTCAGCGTTCGAGCAATGAGTCTTTACACTCAGACGGACCCACAGTGTATCGCTTTCCTTTGGATCCCTGCGAACCGCTACTTACCTGCATTGTTCCTTGTGTATCCTTTGGTTCCCTCATGCTCCCAGTGAGATCCTGCATGTCCATCAAGTGGATTGTTATCATCTCCTTCAGTGAGCTCTTGCACCTGTGCTTTACCTGTAAGCCTGTCCTCCTCCTGTGTGGCTGCTTGTTCCACTCAGCCCCGCTCTTCAGTGAATTCCAGATAGTCGTGTTGTAGCTGTCTTCCTGTTTACCAGTGTTCCTATCACACTATTGTTTGGAC